GCTCAATACAGTTGTGATCCAATACAGCTGTGGTACAATACAGCTGTAGTTGAATACACCTGTGGCTCCGTACAGCTGTGGTACAGTACAGCTGTGGCTCAATACAACTGTGACCCAATACAGCTGTGGCTCAATACAGTTGTGGCTCAATACAGCTGTGGTGCAGTACAGCTGTGGCTCAATACAGCTGTGGTTGAATACAGCTGTGGCTCCGTACAGCTGTGGTACAGTACAGCTGTGGCTCAATACAGTTGTGATCCAATACAGCTGTGGCTCATCACAGAGACACCTAGGGACAATTTAGAGTTACCAATCAGCCTAACATGCATGTTTTTGGTCTGTGGGAGGAAACCGGAGTACCCGGAAGAAAACCCACGCAGCACAGAGAGAACATGCAAACTCCACCCAGAAAGGACCTGGACCGGGATTCTCTCCAGCAACCTTCTCGCTGAGAGGCAGCAGCTCTACCAACTGAGCCTCTGCACCATCCAAGTTGAAAAGTTGTTTTCCCAAATTGTTCACTTAATTTAGACCTCCATCCTTTGTCCTTTCTGGGTCTTGGTGATCTGGTCTGGTGTCTCTAAAAACATGTTCCATTTGCAAGATAAAAAAGTTAAAGTCCTGCAGTTTCTGAGCTGTAAGTTTTTATTCTTGTGTCTTTTCTTTCCAGAGTTACTGAGCTAATTTGTTTTATTGTATTGCACTGTAGGGCGCTTTGTTTTTCTGCCTGTTCTTTGAGGACCCGTTGAGTTCTTGCATGAACTCCTCAGGAGTTCTGTTCATCTCCGTATATTCCTGCTCATTTCTCCACTCTGCTTCATAACAAGCTTTCTGAAAACCTCAGATGTTTCTGAAAACACATAAAACCCAGAGTAAGGAACTCTCTTTGGGACCGTCAAAGCTCGAATTGCATCAGCGTCGGTGGAAACTCAGTGGTTAGCTCTTTTGGAAGCGGACTTGTGTTGAAACCTATGATTTGTGAAGAGGCTGCGTGAAGACGTGGAGACTCTGATGTACCACTTTGTTGCATCCGGTTCAGATGAATGCCGGGCTCTGCCAGAACATCGCTGAATGAGCGCAGCCCTCCTCTGTACCACTTCTCAGCCGTTTTAGGTCCGACCCCGAACACACTCGTGAACAGCTGGCAGGACACAAGGTAAAGACGTCATGAAGATCTGAAACGAGCCCTGTGTCCTCCAGAAGTAAAACTGAAATCTCATCTTCTGTGATTCCAAAACTTGTTACTGAAACAGCAGCCGAACGACTCGGTTGTTTTTCATCCACTGACCTTGAGGGTTCGGTATCTTTCATCAGAAAGGATCTTCTCCACTTGAAACGAGCGGCCACATCCAAGGATCTCCTGCAAAACAGAGAGGTTCAAAGTACCGGCCGTGTTTTTTACAGGACCGTCTGATGAAATCGCTGCTCGTTTGAAAATTGTTTGCACTTAAATCGTGTGTTCTCGTTTTCATTGTGTCTCCAGAAATAAAGCTGGAGTTAACACCCGGTTAATGAGGGAATGCTCTTCCTCACGTTCTGTTTACTCTGAGACTGATTTTTCACGTTTAATCGTCTGAGTTTGGGCCGAGCTTCAGCAGAACTCAGTTGAACCGGCGTCGCTGTGGAAAAGTGTTGAATTAGACACGGTGTTCTGTTGACGACCAGCCAGCTTCGATAGGAAACGAGTGTGTGTGGGAATGTTCATGAAGGTAAAGCTGTGTGTCATCTGCGTATGTTTCCATACAACACAAACCCATCACACGTGAGATACATGCAGGTGGAGCAGCGGGCAGCGCTGCAGCACCGCAACATGTGGCCATGGTGGGGAGTTGAACCAGCAACGTTCTGGTCTGGAGTCGCCATATGAATGTATCGTACCTCAGCTTGAAACTCGAACCACTCTGTTCTGTGAACTGAGAAAGATCCTCGGAGGAGAAGAGAAACGTCTTCTGTTACGACTAAAGTCCAGATGTTTTGTTTTTAACTTTTTAAAATTTATTTACTGTCCAGATGTTTTGTTTTTAACTTTTTTTAATTTTATTTACTGTCCAGATGTTTTGTTTTTAACTTTTTAAATTTTATTTACTGTCCAGATGTTTTGTTTTTAACTTTTTTATTTTTATTTACTCTGTCATGGATGACTGAGAACAAGAAATTTATTTGTAAAGCACATTGAAAACAAACGTTTTTCAAAAAGATATATAAAAAAAAAAACGGAACAAGACACAGAATAAACCTGATCCCTTCTGTGGACCAGCCTGGACCTCAGGACAACTAAAGACCTGATCACCT